AACAATTGTCGATAAGAAAGACAAAAAAGTCTGGATAGTGGACGTGGCAGTGCCTGGAGATAGCAGAATAGAAGAGAAAGAACTGGAGAAGATAAAAAATACAAAGACCTACAAATAGAAATAGAAAGACTGTGGCAAAAGCAAGCAAGGGTAGTACCAATAGTAATAGGCTCCTTGGGTGCAATCCCAAAACAACTGGAGCACCACTTGAACACCATTGGCATTGACAAATTCGCTATTAGTCAATTGCAAAAGGCGGCCTTATTAGGAACTGCTTCCATCCTGCGACGATATCTGTAATACCATCAAACATCCACATCTGCCTATCCCAGGTCCTGGGTAAGGACTCGATAGGTAGGCAAAATGCCAAATCCAGTCTGAACATCTGGCTGACTGTGCGATGATCCATAATAATAATAATAATAATAATAATAATAATAATAATAGTAATAATAAAGTTGGAAGGGACCTTGGAGGTCATCAAGTCCAATCCCCTGCTCAGGCAGGTAACCCTATACCATTTCAGAGAAATGTCTGTCCAGTTTCTTCTTAAAAACTTCCAGTATTGGAGCCTTCACCGCTTCTGGAGGCAGGTTGTTCCACTGGTTAATTGTTCTAACTGTCAGGAAGTTTCTCCTTAGTTCTAGGTTGCTTCTCTCCTTGATTAGTTTCCATCCGTTGCTTCTTATCCTGCCTTCAGGCGCTTTCTTGGGTTGTGTCCAATAAACAGACTTTCCACTAGTTCTGAGCAAGCTGAGTTTCTAAACTAAGGTCCACTCAGTTTGTTGAAGTAATGGAACATGTGCATAAACGCGGGAACCAGGGGAAGAGATGCTGCTTAGGAAACAATCAGACAAGAGAGGCAGGAGCCCTCAGTGGCTTAAAGGGCAGAGAAAGAAACTTAGGAAGGACTCACCGTAATGGATCAAGCAATTAAAAGTGGCAGCAGAAGTTTGTACTTTCAGATTTGCAAGATTTTGTTATTGTAGCCTTACAATAAAGCAGAATTAGCTCATTTAATTGCAATTCTGATCTGGTTTACCTGGGAGGGCTGACACTCAGCAAGACTACAGTGGATGGGACATTCACACAAGGTGTGTAGGTCATGTCATGCATATTGCAAAGCTGGAATTGTGTAGGTAGTTGTGGATACTCACGGATTGTATTATTATTATGTTCCTAACACCTTTTAAATAGAAGTAACTTCTTGTTTATTGCCTAACATTAGTTAATGGTATATTGTATACGTCAACTGTCACTAGGAGTTGGATGACAATAAATGAACAAATAATTAAATCAGGTTGGTGCTCTCAGACAGCTAATGAGGCGCAGTGTCCTCAGCCAGGTACACTTCCCCTGATCTCTGTTGAAAAGAAGACATCCTATCTTTTCCATAAGGCCCCACATCAGAGAGGTGTTGCAGGTATTTGTAGAGAAGTCTTTTAAAACAGTCCTGCCATTTTGTCCGATACAGTGAAATGAGGTCATTGTGCTTCTCAACACCCAATGAGCTAATTCTTATCTCATTGGGCTGCAAGTATAATAACTGCTCTTGAACTGCAATCAGGTTAAACTGCCAATCAGGTTAAACTGCCAATCAGGTTAAACTGCCAGTCAGGTTGTTTAAATGCATTGTTTACAAACTGAGTAGTATTTTAGAACTGCCTAAATGAAATGGTACACATCTACCTATTTTCAGCCCATATCTTTTTCATGCTGTTCAGTCCAATTTTCATCCTGAAAAAAATACTTAAACATGGCACTATATGTTATACTATTTTTCTTAGCAAACATATTTTGTACACAAATTTCTCTAATGTATACATTTTTCCTATTCAATATTTTCCTAATATACATTTAGCTGCTACAGTGGCATCAAACTGTACTTTTCTAGCATATAAACTGCAAAGCAGTGTTGTGATAGGCAAAGGGGCTAGTGAAAATGCATCATCAATATCCAAAAGACACATGTCCAAAAGAGAATTTTGCAAGGTCTCTGTTAAATTATCCCCTCCCCATCGTGTGTGGAAATCTCTACTTTCCAGTATTCTATTTTAACATGACATGTTTCATGCATCATTAGCTGATATATATTGTCTTTATTTTAATCTGCTTCAGGTATGATTTGGAACAGAGAAAACTTTGAAATCAGATTATTGTTCATTTTCAGTCTAAAAGCTCACCATTCCCAGATTTTAAAATAGTCACTTTAGCTCAAAATGTTTGAAAAGGTCCTTTCAAAAATCTGCATTTCGTCCTTGGCATTTGAAATAAGAGAAGCATCACTGTGAAGGAATATCATAATATTCATATAATAGTTAGAGAAACACATACTGAGCAATTAAAATTTCAGAATAATGCCTTAAATCCCCACTTTTAAGTCAAATCACCTGACAGTAGTGGGTTTTTTTTAAAAATCAAACTTTCTAAGTTATCTTGGAGACCTCTAAGAATAAGCTATTTACTATATATACACAATCCTGATTGTACCCTGGAAATGGAATAAAACACATAATCTCTTTCACACCACACATATCTTCATTTGCGATAGGAAATGGTAGATATATATGTAGTAAATGAAATTGGAAAAATGGGGAATTTTGCTACTGGAAGAAATTCCAGTATATCAACCAAAAGCTGCACACACCACAATGTATTTATGATGTGCAAACAAATTCTACTTTCCATGACTTACTTCCACCCAAACATCCTGTCTTTGCAGTTGGCAATTGTCAGTCATGAATGTAATAATTCCTTCTGATGTGCCTGGACTCAGATTTAGCAAAGATTTCTTGTCTAATTGCATTTACAATTTTTCTTGAGAGGGAGAAGATTGTATAATTATCTGATTCTTAAACTTTAAAATCTGTCAGCTGCTGGTTGAAAGTTATGATTGAAATACAATACATTGTGCTTGCTTGGAATAATGCATTTGTGCTAAGCCTTTTAGCATTTGGCCTTTTGAGCATCTTAAAAAGTATTTTGACATTATTTGGATTCAACCTTTGTGACTACTCAAGTTGCTGCGGTGAGCTAGGACAGGGGTGGCGAACCTATGGCATGGGTGCCAGAGGTGGCACTCAGAGCCCTCTCTGTGGGCATGCACACTGTTGCCCCAGCCCCCTGTGGCCCCCTCCTCACCAGCAGCCCCCACAGAGGAGGCGCAGCCTGGGCGGAGCAGCACAGCCAAGGACATGGCAGCTGGGCAGTGGGGACAAGACTCCGCCCTCCTGCCCCATCGCGTACAGATGATGCTGTGGGGCACGGACAGAAGGTGTGGCTGCCATGACACTGCTGGGCCTCCATGACACTGCTGGGCCGCCTGGGCCGTGGAGGTGATGGGTGGCCCTGCGGGCAGGAGAGGTGGCCCTGCGGGGCAGGGGTGAGGCGGTTTTTGAGCACTCAGTCTCTAAAAGGTTCGCCATCACGGAGCTAGGATCATCTACTGACAAAAGTATTGAATGTGCTTGAATCTGTTTATCAATGGGGGAAGGAATTTCCTGAAGATCTCTTTGAAAAAGGAAAGGAAATTAATATAATAATTTTAGTTATAGTCTGAAACATAGCCTATTGGACAACTTGAAAGAAACATAAAATTCTTTTTAAAAGCAACAAATAAAAGACAGCATCAAATAATTTTAGCTTAAACTGTACAAGCCAGTAATTAACAGAATTTCTTGATGGCTCCCATAGGCAAGTTAGATAGAAATAAATAATGTGATCCTCCCTGTCCTTCCAGGGTAGATGCAGAAAAATAAGTGACCAGACCAATAAAAATATACAAAGTCTGAATTGGATTTCCTACTACTCACAATGATTCAGGTTTGGGATGTCTGTGCATTTGACAGAAGATTCAGTCAGATCTCATTCAATGGAAAGTGCAACATGTGGGCTCAAGCAAAAATTCCACCCCTCCAATTGCTTGTGTTTTAGGGCTCAATTTAACTCTACATCTCTGTCAATCTTATGCCTCTTGTAAAACATTCACTGGGTACTTTCTCCTTCATTCTGAGAGTTTTTTCGTTTGGCTGGAATTAGTAGTCCAGAGTTCTTCTGTAGAAATTAGGAGGTAATAGTAATAGTAGTAAAGTTGGAAGGGACCTTGGAGGTCATCTAGTCCAACCCCCTGCTCAGTCAGGAAACCCTACACCATTTCGGACAAATGGCTGTCCAGTCTCTTCTTAAAAACTTCCAGTGTTGGAGCATTTACTGCTTCTGGAGGCAGGCTGTTCCACTGATTAATTGTTCTCACTGTCAGGAAGTCTGACACTACACAAGTTCTGCTGAAAGTCAATAGCTGTAAAACCAGGTGCATAGATTGGTTATATTTTAAGAAAATTTAGGACTACGGGGTTAGTGGTCATATGATAAATTTTTTTTTTGCAACTCAGGAGTTTTAACCTCTATATGTTTATAGAAATCACAGCAATCTGGCACTACTCATCACTGGAGTGTCATACCTTTTTTTCTTTTTAGTTTTGTCAAAGTTCTTATTAATATTTGTGATCCCAGTTTGACTGGGAGCTAGTTTTGCTTCTCCCTAGTAATCAGTGACTTGGTCACCCATTGAAAAGATCAATGCAACATCTAAAAGTCTATATATAGATATATAAGGGCTTTCCATATACAATGAAATTTTAAATGACAGTGTCAATAAAGAAGGAATATATTTTGTTATAATCGTCCATGCACGATCTACTTCTATAAGTACGTTCCAAGAATCATTTTGAATCGAGGACAAACCATCTCAGGTAATTTGTCCTCCTTTCTTGTATCCCTTTTCTACCAAAGTGTTTAATATAAATAAAGTTTTCTTTAAAAGATAATAAATGAAAACATATTTAATAAAAATGTCAATAAAAATAACAGAAACCCCCTCCATTCCACCAAATTATTCAAGAATCATTATGAAAGGAGAGCAAGTGTATTTGTTTGGGGATTCTTGATAGATTACTTTTCTACCAGTGACATACATAAATTAACTATTTACTCTGTTTACAGATTGCTAAATGGCTTTGCAATATTACGATTCCCAATACATTATCTTTGATTAAGATCAAATGAAGAGAATGAAAAGAAGGGGGAAATGTCCAATCAATTAGTTGGAACGGGGAAAAGTAATGGTAAGTAGTACACAATAAAATAGTATCAAACAGTGACAAAACACAAAACAGACACAAGCAGTCACATTGTAAAGGAGAATATTTGTAACTCAGGGTTGAAAGGAGGGCTCTTTGGTGCTCTCTGAGCTTGGTTGTTTTCTTGCAGATGCTTGAGTCCAGGGGTAGGCAACCTTGGCTCTTTTATGACTCGTGGACTTCAACTCCCAGAATTTCTGAGCCAGCCTGGCTGGCTCAGGAATTCTGGGAGTTGAAGTCCATGATTCATAAAAGAGCCAAGGTTGCCTACCCCTGTGCTAGACTGATGATATTATTTAGTTTGGGTAACGAAATGTCTGCAAGAAAACAACCAAGCTCAGAGGATCCCTCACAAAAGATTTTAAATAATGTTTTGGGGAGGAATTGCCACTGTGTTTGATTACTCCTATATTGTAAAACTAGTTCCAGCTTCGTATGTATAAAGTTAGTTGTTTATGATAATTACTATTACCTCGAAAATATACAAATATCTCAGACTGCAACAAATTATCTACAAAAGCTTACTTTCTTATATCAGGCATTTGTATTTTTTTTAAAATTTTTATTAACAATAACATTATTGCTTAAATTAATAATGAACAATACGTTATTTGGAAAAGTGCCTTATAAGGTTGAGCAGTGCAATAAACTTTGTCAGGAGACATTATATAAATGTGTATTTAACAAAAATCTCTTTGAGTAAAATTGGTTCATTGCAAAGTCAGTCAGATGTTTAGTCTAGGTTTGGTGGATAAAAATGCCAAATCTGGTCTAAACATTGGGTTGACTGTGTGAAAAGCATAAAAAAAAATAGCAGGCAAAACAGATACAGGACCTGGCAATGGCTAAGAGCAGAGAAGTAGAAAGAAAGAGATAGAAGGACTAATTCTGGCTGCACAAGACCAAGCCTTAAGAGCAAATGCCTACAAAGTCAAAATTGAGAAGACAGCAAAAGAGAGCAAGTGCCTCTTCTGTAAAGAAGCTGAAGAAAACAATGGACCACCCTATTTGGCTATTGCAAGAAGATCACACAGACTGACTACAAACAACGGCATGACAAAAGTAGTAACAATGATGCATTGGAATATCTGCAAGAAATACCATTTCCTCACAAGCAAGAACTGGTGGGACCGCAAAATAGATAAAAAAGAAAACAAAGAAGCTAAAGTGCTCTGGGACTTTAGAATTCAACAGACAAGCACCGGCCACATAATACCTCAGTTCTAGCAGTTGTAAATAAGAAAGACAAAAATGTGGACAGTGGACATGGCAGTATCTGGAGACAGCTGAACAGAAAAGAACTGGAGAAATATAAAGACTTGCAAATAGAAATAGAATGACTGTGGCAAAAGAAAGTAAAGATAGGAGGTGCCTTGGGTGCCATCCATTCAAACACCATTTGAATATCATTGGCATTTGACAAAATAACCTTCAGTTGCAACTTGGAACATTTTACATCCTATAATGATACTTTTAACACCATTACACAATATCTGCCTATTACAGGCCCTTGGGAAGGACTCGGTGCTAGATAAAAATGCCAAATCTGGTCTAAACATCTGGATGTCTATTTCAATGACCGGTAATGATAACCCTCTTCACGAATACCTTCTTGTCAGGGCAGAAGGACTTGTGATGCTCCAATGAAGTTGAGAGCTATCCTTCTGGTAATGTACTCCACCAAAATGATCACCCATGCCAGATAGGTCTTAGTGGAAGAGTTAGACCAAGTGTCCATCATCCCATTTAACCAACATCCCATTTAACCTGCTGAGAAAACAGAAAAAGAATTCTATACCAGTTCAGTCATTACCTGGGTCAACAAGAACCATGTCAGATGTTAGAGTTCCTGAGCATCTGTTGAAAAAATGGGCAATGGGACTCAGGAGCTATGGCTGTACAACTGGGGCTTAACTAGGATTACTAGAAGAAGAACAACCCCAGAGAAGATAAAAGTATACTATATTTAAAAATTACACCATGCAAACATGGAAGATTCAAAAAACAATAGTAGAACAGTAGAAGAAACTCATTAAAAAAATTGGAGGCTATATAGAGAAAATAGCTTATATGAACTACAGAAATGATCACTTAGAACCAGAACCAGTACAGGCCAGCATTGAAACAACCTATGAACTGGGTTTCTACCAGTTTCAATGTGAAGAATTAAAAGATAAAATTATGGCATACACAGAATTACCAGTAGAGAGTCCGAGACTGTCCGTGCTGAAAATAGTGGCCCCAAAAGATATGGCACCTATAATAAAAGATGTGAATAAGGTGCGCACAAGGATTAAAATAACATCTATCAAGCAGATAGATTGCCTACAGCATAGTAGTAGTGGTTGCAGAAAAACTGGGTATCAAAATTAGGAAACTAAAACCAAAATCATATTCAATTCCAAAGTGGAAGATCAGACTGGAGGCCAAGATAAAGAAATTAAGATCAAATGCAAGTTATTTAAAGAACATGAAAGAACAAACATTGAAAAATGTAAAGATCATGACAAGTATAATAAAACAAGTATTGGCTTAGCACCAGAAACACTGAAGAAGCTTCAGAAATTGTAAAGCAACAAATAATAGCAATAGCTGGATAAAGTGAACACTATGAGCTACAAATCATCCAATAAGCTATTTCAATCAGACCAGAGGTGATTCTACCCAAGTATAAATGATAATAGAAATCTGGAAAATGGAAAACCAACCAACCAACCAAAAAAACAATCCACGTTTGGAAAGAACTATGTGAAATGACTTACAACTGGAACATTAAAAAAAGAAACTGAAGGCTTAATTTTGGTTGCTCAAGAGCAAACTACTCAAAGTAATGTAGTCAAGGCCAGAACTGAAAAAATGTCAAAATGCAGATTGTGAAAAGAAGCAAAAGAAATAATAGATCATTACTCAACTTGTGGAAGAAAATTACCCAAACTGATTATAAACATAATTCATTTTAAATCTCTGTAAAAATCATCATATGCCAGTAATAAAAAATTGGTGGGAACATATAGTTGAAAAAGTAATTGAAAATAAGCAGATGAAAATATTGTGTGATTTTCAAATACAAATCAATAAAGTCTTGGCTGATAATACACCAGATTTAACTATGGTCAAAAAAAAAAAAAAAAGAAAAAGAAAATGTGGATAATTGATAGTAAAACAGAAGGCAGAGAACTGGAGAAGATCAACAAGTATCAAGATCTGAAAATCTAAGTTGAAAGAGTAGGGTGTAAACTGGCCATGATGATCTCAGTGATTATTGACATACTGGGTGACATTCCAAAAAGCCTTGAATGGCACTTAGAAAATCTGCACATTGACAAAATTTCCATCTTTCAGTTACAAAAGACCACACTGCTTGGATCTGTGCATTATGACATCCGACCTAGGTTATTGTGAAGAACTAAATGCCTATGAAGGCCAACACCAGTTAAAGAAGTGGTAGCTGGAGTTTCACATTGTTGTGTATTAATAATAATAATAAATGAGTAGTATAATGACCTTATACTACTAAAACTAATCAGAAGTGCTTTGTCCCCTGTTAATTGATCAGACTGGACTTTATCTACCCCCCCCCTTTTTAAAAACTGGTTTTCCTGCAATTTCTTTTATGTACCACTAAAGAAACAACACACCTCTTCTGAAATCTTTGGTTGCTTTAAGGCTGAGGTAGAAGGGATCATATTCTGGAACATTTCGGCTTTGTGACAAATGCATTCATTCATTTTACAGTGATATTTTCTAAGTGTGGCTGGCACACAGGGATAGAAATATGTCTTCGCAGCCCAACTTCCTCTTTAACATTCATTTAGGGGGAAAAAGCACAGTTTCTTAATATTCTGAATTGGCTTCATGGCATTGTTGTGCAAATAGAGCTGATTGAGTACATGGCATTGTGATGTTAACATGTTGGTAAAGTAATCCCCCATGAGATATTTTAAAAGCTGTCAGAAAAGAAACAACTTTGCTTTAGTCCTTGAATTTACTAAAATAATCTTTCTCTCTGATTCACTGTGATTGGTTACTTGAGCTGATGACTGATCAGACTGGTTCCAGACCAATTATCAACCTTGAGTGTTATTGTGAAGGAGGCCATTGTTATAATGCTAACAGACTTTGAAAAATGTCCACCATAAAGTTATTGAGAAATCTCATGTTCTTAACAGGAGAGTAAGCCATGTGAATTCAGAGGAAACAATAAGCAGCTATTTAACTTTTCTCTTTGAGAACATTTGAATAATTTAATGTGACTCCTCCTCCTCCTTGTCATCATCACTACCACCACTATCACCACCATCACCACCACCACCACCACCACCACCATCATCATCTGTAACTGTTTATTCCTAGTTCAGCAATTTGTTGCAAATATGAGAACATTTGAGGACCATTTTCATTGGAAATGTGTCCTATGCATTACTTAGGAGATCTGTTGTATGAACTATACGCTTACAGACTAACTCTTACTGGGGCTCTTTTATGCACAAGAACTTTGCATGAACATATAAAGTCATACAGAGTTCTGATGTGTGACTTGTTCTAGTTATCGTTACAACCATATTTCCCATTTACAAACACTTTTGAATATTAAAAGTATTATTCCAATATTTCTTGCAATTGTCCTGTGACATAAAGAAGAGTTTGCCACAAAGAAGAGTTGCTACAAAGAAGGAGTCAAGCTATTCTCAAAAGCACCTGAAGGCAGGACAAGAAGCAATGGATGGAAACTAATCAAGGAGAGAAGCAACCTAGAACTAAGGAGAAACTTCCTGACAGAACAATTAATCAGTGGAACAACCTGCCTCCAGACGTTGTAAATGTTCCAACATTGGACATTTTTAAGAAGAGATTGAACAACCATTTGTCAGAATAGGGTATCCTGCCTGACCAGGGGGTTGGATTAGAAGACCTCCAAGGTCCCTTCCAACTTTGCTATTCTATTCTATTCTGTTCTGTTCTGTTCCGTTTGGTTCCGTTCCATT